TAGAAATGTGTCATTTCACCGAAGAGATAATAATTATGTTAGTATTCTTTTTATTTAAAGGCTTATTTTATTTATCCAAAAGGCAGAGTTACAAACGAGTCAAGAGATAGGAGAGGGGAGGGAAGGAAAAAATAGCGGAGATCTTCAATTTACTGATTCACTCCCCAATAAAACCTAACATCCATAGCTGAGCCAGACAGAGTTAGGAGCCAGGAGCCAGGAGCTTCAGCTGGATCTCCCACTGAGGCACATGTATCTGTTGTTCCTTTCCCAGGAGCATTAGCAGGAAACTGAATCAGAAGTGAAACACCCAGGATACAAACTGGTGCCAATATGACATAGTGTCATTGCAGGTAGGGTTAACCTTCTGCAGGGTAATGCCAGCCCTGTATGCTAGCATTGTCAAAACAATGTGACACTCAAAAACAAGTGACCACATTAATGGAAATACATTAGTATTTATTTGGTGATGCTATGTATGACAAAACAGAAACTGAATAAAAGAAATATAGCCTGAAAATGAGTCAGTATGCTTGATTACTTAAAACATCTTTTCCATCTTGATACATCATTTAAGAAAGTAAAATCCAAATGGATTAATACCTTACATTAAAGTGACAAATACATGAATTGCCAGACTTTCACACAAAAAGATAATAAAATAGAGATCATCATGGTACAATGCAGGAAACATTGTATTATTTCCTTTTTTCCTTCTGGTTCCCTTATTTTCATTTCAAAGCTTTATTATTTATGGTGCATGAATTTCCCACTAACATAACTAATACATTTTTGTTTAAAATAATAAATAGCATAAACAGCATGTGTTCAATATAATGTATTTATGCACACATTTTTTTAGCACATGGGCAGTATTACCATTCTTATAAATGTACGATATACCAAGGTAGAGTACATTGTTTGTCTTGGTTGACTAGCTTTCATCCTCCTCTGTTTCAGTCTCAGGTTAGCTTCAATTATATGATGACTTTGTACTGAATCCAAGGCATCAAATGCTTATACTATAGCTGAAATTGAATTGGGAAAACCATGAACAGCCTGGAAGGAGGCAAAAAGACAAGACAAGTTCATCATTAATGTTCTCATTGGAAAAGAAGCCAGGGACTTTAAATATTCATCATTCAATAAAGTTGTGGATGTCAAAAGAAGTCTAAAGTTGAAAAAATCATACCTAAAAATCAGCAGACCTGGAAGGACTCAGCTTGTAAGGAATGAGTCCATCTTTTGTAGAGATAGAATATGTTTTCCCCATGTTTCAGTGCACTCTTTCTAAAGCTTGATCAAGTCCTCCAACGGGTCTTTAAGACCCATGGAGGGGACCATCTGAAATCCCATCTTTCCATTTTAATGGGAACTCATCCACAGGATGGAGGTAGACAGGAGGCATGCCAATTCATATGTTTTGATACTCACTATCCTTCCTTCCCTAAAACCCAAACATTCCGTTGCATGCCTTAGGACACGTATCTGCTATAAATTCATTTTTTATCTAATTTGTCTGAGATCTAAGCTTCCTGTGGAGGTCTGAGATCAAAGGATCTGATTCCTTCTGATGTCGGCACTGACATATAATGTGTGCTGACTTAGTTCTGTCTATAACCTCACAGTGGGAGGCAGCCAGCCTCCCTGGGCACCTTTACACAGTGAACTTTCATTTTGGCTGTGGAATCTGTCAGGTATGTTGCTGATTGGAGCTGCCATGTAAATAATTCATAGGAGATTTTTAAATGGTTTTGGATCTGCAAAGAAAAGCTCTGCTTGCATTTGTCTTTTATGAATAGGTACAGACTTGAAGAACAAGGGGAAATAGCTTACCAATGAAGGTCTCTCAAAACTGGAATAACAATCTCTTGAACAGTTGGACTATAGGTGACTTACAGTGTTAGATGCCTCTTAGATGAAGTGCTATTGGTTTTACCAAGGGATTAAAATTCAAAGCCTTCCTTCCTTTTTAAAGTTTGCTTCTATCTGACAACTTATTATTCTTATTCTTTGGCTATTTGCTGATTCTGGTAAAATACATCTTTTCTCCTGGTATGTGCAATAATTATGGAAATGAATCAAGCTCAGTGCTTAACATAAAGAAGTGGGGAGAATGAAGGGGGAAGGTTGATAGTACACCAAAAATTCCTCCCCTGAGAGAACTTGATATCTGAAGAGGAAGATGAGAAAATGATATAAGAAAAAGTAACCAGTAACAGAAGCAACTGTGCAGGTCATATCGGAAACTCATCAATAAGTATTCAAGTAACAATCAATGTAATTTAAGCCATCAAGCAATGCTTCTGAAAAAGTTGCAAATGCACTAAGAAAACTAGTGTAATCTAAAAGTTCTCAAGAAAAAAATCATGTCATAATTAGGTGACTAGCAGTAAAAGGAAAGGTGAAAAAGGAGAGGGGAAAATACAGATATGGTGGGTCTGTTGGAATATTGTCCAGTGAGTCATGAAGGCAATATTAGGACAGAATATTTTACCTATTTTTGATGCTCCCAGTAAAATGCATCTTATACATATTCATATGATATTTTCCACCCATTCACACATTAAGAAAATATTATTGTTTAAGAAATTTATATTTTTACTCGAGTTATGACTCTTGCAGTATAACCTAGACATCATCATTTTGTGTTAACACAAACACATAGACAGAACTAAACTGACAAGGGACTATGATACTCACGTTAGTAAGTTGGCATTTGCACTATATGAAAGAGTGGCTAATGGGTTTGTTAGTAACACAAGAGATGGGATGATCAATCTCATGTGTACCATGTGCATGCACAGTGACCTAACTGTACAGTTTTTTCTTAACTGCTCATTGTTGTTTTTTACTTATGTAGTATTATATGATGCTTAGAGAACACACTCCGGAATCAAAAGTATTGAATGAAAGTAAGTAGTATCATTCACTGCTTTTTTCAAGGACTTGGCAAGTTCCTCTCTTTGTGCTCCATCTGATACTCTTCTAAAAGCAAGATCGCAACAGCGTAACTCCAGAGGGTGCTTGTAAGGACTCAGTCATAAACATGGCTTAGATCTTAGCATGTGCTAAATGTGCAATTGCCATGTAAGTGTTACTTAAAATTATTAAAGGAAACGTGGAGAAAAAAAATATCTCCCAAAGTGGGTACTTTAATGTGAAATTATATAATGTTTCTATCTGTAGCTATAGTACTGTTAACTTACTGCACAGTCATACACACACCCACTCCTTAAAGTTTTTTTTTTTATTTGAAAGATTTTAGAGAGAGAGAGACTGATTTATGCTTCAATAGCAGCAATGCCCAAACCTGAGCTCATCCAAATCTAGGAGCCAGGAGCTTCCTCTGGGTTTCTCATATGGGTGTAGGGGTCTAAGGACTAGCTTGCAGCACCATTATGCCAGCCCCAACTCAGCATATATTTTATTAAGCTGAACAATAGGCAGTCAAAAAAGATACTCTGAGAGTGTTTAATAACTTTCCTAAGTAGTTAGTCTGTAACTTTTGAGCCTTACTATATTTGAATTTCATATCCCAACAAAAATTTCATGAATAGGGACAAATAAGCTTCTCTGTCTTTCTCCATCTGTAAAGTGAGGACCATAATAATGATAGCTTTATGAGAAGGTTGTAGGGACAAGATGAATATATGTGTGGAAAGCTTTTATATCAGTGTTTCACAGGTGTGAGCAGTATCTAAGTATTAACTGCTTAAATGATGATAACTCTAAAAATCAATACAGATCAATCAATCAAGTTCATTAGCATATCACTAGTTCTGAATAGAATTTTGAATGCCTTATCTTCATCATTAAAAGTCCTATGAAGTGGAGACTATCACTATCATCTTACATATGAGGATGTATAAAAGTATATAGTATAGAGGGATTAAGTGCAATTTGTACCTTTATTCAACAACTAACTGACAGAAGCAGCAGGAAATTGTGTAAATGCATTTGATTCTAAAACTGGAGTATCAGTTTCTACATAGTTCCTAGAGAACATATTTCAAATGTTCAGTAACAGCATCAAATGTTTTAACAAGTGTGACTTACCATGTCAGGACAATCCTTTAAACCCATAGTTTACATCACTGCTCCAGTAACATGCTAGGCTAATTAACTCATTTATATGTGACACAATCACACTGCTAAATGCTTATACAATATATCCTTCAAAGAATTTGGATTCAGTAGTACAAAATACCTAAATCTTCTGTTCATGAAGGCTGTACTCTTCTGAGTTGGGTTTTAACTCCAGTTAATAGGAAAATAATAAGCAAATAAAGTGTCAAGGGATGAAAGTCATCATTAAAACGAAAGTGTTAAAATGAAGTGTGCTTTAGTAAGTTGTTTGGCATCACCTGAAATCACAACTGTCATTTGAAATGCAAAGGAGTTAAATGACAGATGAAAGTCACAAAATCAACTAGTAGAAGAGGGACAACTTAAACCTCAATCCCGTGACTTGGGCCCGGTGTGCCTTTTCTCATTCTACAATGTGGAAAATTTATTTATATATTTATATCATCTCTGCATATGTTTATATCCACAATTGTCTTATAAAATCAAAGATAATACAATTGTGGATTTGCCATGAAACCCTAAATATTAGATAAAATGCATTTTTAAAGCTTATGTTTCTTAATAAATAAATTGTTCTGAGTTGTATTATATAGGATTGGCTCACTAGTATGGCCCATCTTTGGTCTGATTTTCAAATTCAAGTCTTACAATGAAAAAAAGCATTTGTTGTTGCTATAACAGCGTAATAGCTTTTCTGAGAAAGCAGTATTAGCAAACTTATTATTTGGTACTAGCTACAGTTTGAGCATGCGGTATAGTGCTGTATTTCCAAATGTATTTACAAATTAATTGATATAAATCTAGTTTTAGTTGGTTGACAGCATCTTGTCAGGAACTGAATGGATGAAATGTATAATGAGCTGATTGAAAAGTGCATCCATTTTTTCTTACCTTACTCTTTCTCTTTGTAGATATGAGGATGAAAGTCATGCTAGGCAAACTGAACCAGCTGCCTCACCAGTCGCTGAATGGAGTGTCCAGAAGGAAAGTTAATAGACCAACTGTAGGACAGGAAAAAACTGCTGTTCCTGTTTCCAGCATTGCTGGCGTCACGTCCCAAGGCCACACCTGCACTCCAAGCTCTCCTGCTCAGCAGGTGCACATGCAGGAGGGTGGGAACTGGAAGGAAGCCAAAGCGCAGTTGCTGAGATACCAGCTGGCAGGACAGGATCAGCTGTTGCTGCTGTGCCCTGATCTCAGGCAAGGGCAGAGTCAGCAAAGCAAAGAAAGTGGCAGCTTGGGGCCTTCCCAAGAGACAAAAATCTCCTGTGGTGCCACCAAGGCAATCTGTGTCCATTCAGTACACCCTGAGACTATTCCAGAACAGCTGTGATCAGGGAGTAGAGTGGGTATCTGAAGTGAGAAGTAGAATATTCTAAATATTTCTGGATAATAAATACATGAAATGATACTTAATCTGCAAGAATCATTAGGAAGGGGAAATGTGGACCTTGAATCCCATTCTTAACATTAAAATGGAAGAGCCATTACATACTTGTAAACAGTGTTTAACAGGTCTTGAATCTATTAAAAATCCTAGCCAAATGCCAGCCAATAATAGGTTATCAGTCATTTATTAATGTTCTATTATTTTTAATGTTATGTCCATTATATTCTTGATTTTGCAAATTGAATGATGTAATACTGATTCATGCCAGCAGGGGTTGTCAGTAAGCTTCTTCTGGAATGAACACCCACAATGCTTTGGGATTCTCTGATGGAAGGGAACGTGAAAAGCCCTGGTCAGGTAGATAATTCTGTAGATTCTCAGAAACCTGATCCTCTAATCTTTAGGAACCCTGAAATGACAGAAGACTTCATTTTCAGAGCTTGTCTTTCAATCACAGAAAAACTTTCTGGTTTTTTAACAAGTGAATTTTGTTGCATGTTCTAAATCAGTCAAAATTGGGAGCCACAGTGCTGTAAACATAACAAGTTTGCACCTCATACGATATTTACTAATAAAAATTGGTATCTCCGTGAGTTTTCTGAGATATAAGTTAAGGGCAAATATGTAAAAATATTACATTCTGAAAAGGAAATTGCCCAAGGGATTCAGTTAGATTTTTCAGTAGTTCCTTCTATGAGAAGCTAGGTCAAATTTAAATTGGATAAAAACTATATTAGGACACAAGAGATAACTACATATGCAAGTATATTATCTGTTACTTCTTTATCAATGAACTGTCCAATGAAGGAGTGAGATGGTGATTTTCATAACGTGCAGCCTCTCTGGACTATTATAGAGGTTCTGATGGCGATCAGGAAACATAAATTTGGTATGGATAAAAAAAAATTTGGTGTGGATAAAGGCAAGTTCATGCACAGATGTAGGGTCCCTCTAAAGAAGATGTGTGTGTGTGTGTGTGTGTGTGTGTGTGTGTGTGTGTGTGTGTGTGTAAAATTTATTTGAAAGACATAGTTACAAAATGTACCAGGAAGGAAGGAAGATCTTCTATCTTCTGATTCACTTCCCAAATCACCATAATGGCTAAAACTGGGCCAGTCTGTAGCCAGGAAGTAGTAGCTTCCTCTAGGTCTCCCAAATGGATTAAGAAGCCCGATCACTTGGACCATCCTCTTACTTTTTAGGTGCATTATTAGCAGGGAGCTAGATCAAGTAGAGCAGCAGGGCCAACCACAGTGGCCCAACAGGCTAATCCTCCACTTGTAGCTCTGACATTGCTTGTGATCACTTGTTTTAGTTCTGACTGTTCCACAACCAATATAACTCCCTGTTTATGGCCTGGAGAGACAGGAAAGGATGGTACAGGTACATGGACCCTTGTTACCACAAGGGATACCTGAAAGAAGCTCCTGATACCTGGCTTCAGATTGGCACAGCTCCAGCCATCTCAGCCATTTGGGGAGTGAACCAGAAGGAAGATCTCTATCTCTGTGTCCCTCCTTCTTTCTGTGAATTTGCCCTTCAAATAACAACCAATCAATTTTTAATAAATCTTTAAAAAAAAGAAGTGGAGCAGCTGGGAGTAGAATTGGCATAAGTATGGAATGCCAGCTTTATCCACTACACCATAAAGTAAGCATATTTAAGTAGTATACTTGCATTCTTGGCTCTGAATCCAGAAAGCCTTATGGTCAAGGACTATAAAATACATATAGCAGAACTTACAAGAATTTCCAGAAAGACATAGTTGTCAGACTTTTATGACATGTGAATCTTGTGTTTCCCATCTCTGAGAGGTCAAACTATCTTATGCTTGAATTGATAGAAAGGATAGAAACATACACTTCTGTTGCTAAATTTTGAATGATGTTGCCCTAGAATTAGAACCCCTAGGGGAAACTATCAGAAATCCAGCATTTGTAGGGTGTCAATAGGAAGGCATGTTTCATCCGACTGAATTGACAACTAGATTCTTAATTTTTATGTTTGTTTTATACCTCTCTCATGAACATCTCATATGTTAAACCTGCCCTGGGAGAAAGGAAGCAGCCTTCTGTGTGGCACTGGATTGGCTTCTGAGAGATTTAGCAGATGAATCCTGTGATCTCTGTTCTCTGAAAGATGTCATTCCATGCTATCTGTGCATCGGGACTTCATTAAAGAGCAAACTGGCAATAAAAATCTACTCTGCAGGTATAGGCTGGCTGCCTGCAAGATAAATCCTCTTTGTAGATGCATTGTGTTTGGGCACCAACTGTGCTCAAAACATAATAAAATAAAGGTAACTTGAATGACTTTGGCCATTCCTTTTCTAGTTTAATTAGCCCTTGCCATAACTAGCTCTGTATGTCATGTTTGTAGCTTCCTGTTCTACGAAGTGATTTGCCTACAATCTCTACCTTAATACATACCCTGGGTCTTCAAAGGGCTGCAGTCTTTTTGTAAAAAGCTTCTCAGAAGTTCAGGTTTTTGAGAACTCTAACATAACATTCGTTGTCTTTGCACTGCCTACTGAGAGCTGAGGGCTTCCGCATTCTCCCTCTCATTACAGTGACTTCTTTGACCACTTGAAATTCCTGCCCAGATAACTTTCTTGAGCTCTCTACTTTGCCTTTAACTGAATAAGAAGTTCTGGCGGGTTATCCCATAGCCACTATCAGGTTAACCAGCCCTAGAAGCCAACCATAACTTGTCTTCCATTCATTTCCCTCCCAAATAGTTACCTGCTATCTCTGTTATTTCTACCTCTTTATTCTTCATTCCTTTTCTTTCTCCTTGTCCATGCTCCATGTACTAGAAGACTGATCCTCCTGAAAGACAGCTTTTATCCTATCTTTGTCTTTAGAAACAACCATAATTAACCTGTTCCTTCATCCTGAAATCGCTGACACCAGAATTGACTTATGGACCTAAATGGCAGCCAAGCACATTTACATTCTTGGCAGGGCTCTAGCACAAAACATGGGATTTCATTCTAGGCAGGATTCCTTTAAGCATAGTTAAGCTGGTCCTGTTTCTCCTCCCCTCCAACATTTGAGAATTAGGCAAACACTGGATGCCAAAAGAGTGGCTTTCAATTCATCCATGTTTGGAGAAGAGCTTACTAGGTCATCATCATAGACAAATCATAAATACATTTAGATAATTAGCATGGCAAACCTAGTAAATATTTCTCAGCATTGAAAGTGTATTTTTTTACCCACAAAGATAGTTGGAAATTGTCTTACTGTTATTTCAAATAATTTTTCTTGCCTCTTATTGCTGAATCTATAAATATTATAGATTCCTTTATGCTGGAAGATAGATAAGCTAGCTCATCATATTATTAACAAGTGTTAGACAGTAGATTTTAAGAGTTCTTGCCCCAGAAAAGTATGTGTAATGTAATGTGATTATTAATTGGGTCAGCTGAACCATTCTACATTGTATGCACATTTCAAAGCGTGTTGCACATGATGAACTTATGCGTTTTTTTCTCAAAAATAAACAGAAAATTCTTACAAATATTTGTGGATGTCAAAATTGTAAGAGAATTGGGAAGGGAGCTAGAGCAGTTTCAGACCATTTATCTACTTTTCGAATAGTTCTCGTGGAAGATACCAGATATCAGCGAAACCTTGTGTGTCTCCTGGAGTGACAGACTGATCCATAGAGCTCTGAAGCATCTGTGTCTATACTTTTTGTTCACATAGTAGCACAAATCTGTCCTCAAGCTCTCAGAACCAATGTTTCAAGAACCATTTAATCAAAAGAATTCTACCCATATAGTCTAACTTCAAATGTAGGAAATTGCTATCCATTAAATTGCATATAAACTATATGAAAAATGAATATGAGGAAATTCAATGTAAATCACATGCAAATGTTATTCAACCAAGATTTTATAAACTTATGCTTATCAATAACATTTGAAATGTATGCAGATATCATATATTTTACTTTCAGATCTGTAATATATTCTAAATTTTTAAAAGCTAAAAATAGGATGATTTACAACCTATAGTATAGTACTGTGACTAATTACAGATAATTTTGAGAGACAAATTGTATTTCTAGAATGTGCTTTTTAAAAAAATCAGACAATCAGCATTAGACAATAGCAAAACTAGAAAGGCATATGGGGGAATCAGGAGCAATTCCAACAACCTCTTAACAGGAGGTCATATGCACAGAGCAGGCGGGGGACCCCAGAGTGGAGCAGACAGACAGGAGGAGGCTTGTATCCCAACTCTGAAGACTCCTAGATCCTCACCAAGGACTATCAGTATGAGCTCCGAGGACTACATCCCAACCACCAAGGAGACCACAGGGAATTGGAGTGCCTTCGGAGGCTGAGAACTCTGAGGTCACCCACCTCCATTTGGATCTCCCACATGGGATGGAAGAAGCCCAAATCCTGCCTTGCAGGATCCAAGGTCATCGGACTGACAACCAAGAGCACTGAGTGGTCTGCCAAAACAGAACAGTAAATTTCCTTCAGGACTAGGGAGAGGAGCTTTCTCTGGTCCTTGCCTGGTTACAACTTTGGATCCCCACCCTGTCTCGTAATGACCATCAGGATCGCTCCAGAAACCCCTCAAAACAAACAAACAAACAAACAAACAAACAAACAAACAAACAAGAAAACTAGAATAGAGAACAGCAAGGAAAGCTTAGAAACAGACAGGAAACGGGCAGTGGGGATGCACTTATAACTCACTGGGTGGAACACAAAGATTAGTTACTCCTCACTAGGGTATTGAAGATTTCTCTGCACACCCCTCCTAAAACTGTTCACCTAAACTGTTGACATATGTCTTGTTAGAGTTATAGAGTTAGACTACCCAAAAAACAGCAAGGTTCTGCAAAATAATGCTTCAACACTATAAACTGCTAAATACTAAAATTAAAATAGACATGAGACAGCTGAACAGTAATCTATAGCC